GAGGAGAGAGCTTTCTGGAATGAACTTTAATAAGATTCTGAAGCTTAATTTTATGGTTCTAAAAAAACATTCGCCTTCAAACCTTCATTTTCCATTGCATACAACTAAATTACATTTCAGAGTCACTGCAAGGGAACTAAATTGATGATGTAGTTATTTAAGAGCTACATTTAGTCCCCAAATCTACTTATATAAAAATAAGTAGCATCTTCGATTGTAATTGCAAGTACTCGTTTGCTTAATCGGCAATCCTACTTTAAAAAGTGTGATTTGACCGGGGCCTGGTTTGAATTGAACTTCCTGTTTACTTTTTGATCCAAGAGCTCTCGTGGACGTGTAGAGAAATAGTAACATCTCTATCGGGGTTCGAGTCCCGTCGAAAGTGCTGATGATGTTGCAACTGCAGCTCATAATGCAGAAATTTAATTTTAAAGAAGAAATGATAGAGAAAATTCAACGGCATCCTGAGACCTAGTTATCTGAATATGGTAAAACACTTAATTAACCGTCCTTAAATCCCATAAGCGACCGAGATTAACTCAGTTCTTATTCAAGTATGGCGTAAATTGAGCTAAAGACGGAGTTGTGAATTTTCCCATGTCCCAAAGTTCCCAAAAGGAACTTTAAACCGACCTGTTGACGGGCTTTCTCCGACTTCTGCCTTCCGGCTCGTTCAGCCTCCAATTCCTCCTCGCACTCTTGAATCCTGGCCTTCAGATCCTTCAGCTTGCGCTGCAACTGGGCAACAACATTCTGCTCATCTTCATATTTGCTATTCAATGCATTAATCTCTGCTTCCTTCCGGACCACCTTCTCTTCGAGCTCGTGCTTTAGGCGCTCCAGCTCGTCAATAGCCTCCTGCAAAGCCTTGAGGTCACCCTCCAACTTTCTTTTGGCCTTCTCCACGTCCCCACGGAGTTTCTGTTCCCGAGTCATCTGCTCCTCCATCTGTTTTGCCAGTGGGAAAAGAGCATAGAGAGATCTTTACATGAGTTGGGCAGAGATTTAGGGCATTTCGATATGATAAAATTGAGAAATCTACCTCATCAAGTGTGGACTCGAGTTTCTGCTTCAATTTGTTGAACTGGATCACTTTTTCCTCCTCGGCCTGTAGGGCCTCTTTGGTATTCTTGTGCTGCTCCTCCAGCATCCTTTTCTCTTTGCCCATCTTCGCGATCGCCTCATCTTTTTCCACCAGTTCCTCTTGAATCGCTTTAATCTGGTTGTCCTTCGTCAACTTCTCCTGTTCTGCCTTCTGCAGCGAAGTCTCCAGATCTTCAACATCCTTTTTGAGCTCACTAATCTCTGAGGCCAGCTTATTCCTTACCTCTTCTGCCTGGCCTGCCGATGACTCGTCATCAGCAACACGCTCCTCCAACTCTTTGATCTGCTGTACATATTCACCTTTTTGTAGGACCAGTTGTTCAATCTTCTCTCCGGCATCCGCCAGGTTGTCCTGTTCAGCCTGCAGTTGCACAAATAGGTCATTGGTTTGCTGTTGTAGGGTCACATTCTTCTCTTCCAACTCTTTCTTCAGCTTCTCCAACTTTTCGAACTCCTCCTTCATTTTGACCAACTCTTCTGCCGCCTTTTTCATCTCATCCTCCTGACGAGCAATGTTGAGCATCGGTTTGACTTTGGTGAAGAGTCGCCACCAGGGCCAGTTTCGCATGCCCAAGTACTTGCGGACGTTCCGTTGGATCAAAGTGAGTGCGACCCTGTTGGAAAAAGGAACGGAAAGAGGTGGGGAAAAAGAGGATGGTGGAGACACTTTTGCACAAAATAGCGCCACGGAAGGTATCATCAACATGAGATGGCCACTGGATACTAAAAATGCTCTCACTGGAATAAGACAGTTATGATTTTCCGTTTGGACAGCCGATCATAACGATCTTCAACTTCTGAACAGTACAATTGATGCTCATTAACACGTGAGTACCGACTACCCTCACACACCAAGGCAGTGGTGTGTGATGGCAAACTTTGTCAGTTCATATGATCTAGGGACCACGTATGGGTAGGGAAAAATGACCTTAATTTTGGGCTCATTTACAAATTCAGTAAAGAGTGTGAAAAAGGGTGCTCAACAAATCACAAACAAGCTATTACTAAAAACTCGAATTTTATTTGCAAAAATAGTCATTACATTATATTATTATACTTTTGGGTAGACATCCATTTCGTATGAACGTGCATGAAGAAGTGATTTGAAGCTTGATCTCACCAGAAAGGGACGCCTTAATCTCGTTGTACTGCAGTCGTTTAGCTTTGACACGATGTTCATTCGATGGACATCATCAGAGCTGGAACTTATTCGTGTAAAATTTTGACGTTAACACGATGGCGAGAAGAATGTCCGGCTCCATCTTACCTCTTTTATAGACTCAATTAAGCAAAATAAAATTATAAACCTATATGGATATAGAGTGGTTTGGCAAATTATCTTTCACACTGGTCCTGCCACTTTTGTTCGAGTGCCTGTGTGAGATACAAGGGGCCCCATGGCTTACGGCCTTCCTAAGTTTCACAAAGAGGCTGTCCCCGTGAGATTAAATGTAACTAATAAAGGAAGCATAATATATAAAAGCTCACATTTTTTATGCATACAACTAAGGAAAGGTGCCAATTTTTTTAATATATTCAGTTGAAATTATTATGTGTAGGTGAAATTCATTAATCAGAAAGTAACTTGAGAAGAAGATGGGCCAAAAAGCTTTAATGTTGTGTCTATGTACACAAACATTCCCATTCAAGGAGCTATTCAGGCTCTAGTGCAAACTCTGGAGGAGCATCCAGAGATTACACAAGGAATAAGGCTGAGTGTAGCGTCCATAATTAGATCTATCAACGTGTCCACGAGTACCACATATTTTACCTTCGATGGTAAGTTATACGAACAAACACAAGGATTTGCGATAGGAATACTTCATGCAAGAAGCCACAACTAACCCACAAATTGTTAGTTTGCTATATGGAAGACTATTTTGTCATCTAGCTTTATGGTACCGAAAGTTCAGATAGTTTCCTAAATTCCCTCAACCAGCGTGAAAGAAATATTAGGTTCAGAATAAAAAAGGAAGAAAATAAGTCCCTAACCCTTATGGATGTTCTCATCATTAGAGAGATGTTTATAGGAAGCCCTTTGCTCAATTTTTTTCCAACCATAGTTACAAGACTAAGGTTGGAATTTTGAAGTCAATGATTCTTAGAAGTATGAGGCTAGCGAATAGGAAACATTTGACTAAAGAGTTGTAACGACTGACAAAAATATTCCTGAAAGTAATTATCCTTTGGGCCTATTTGAGAACAATATCTCTTTAATGAGGAATAACTTTTCAGACTAAAACCATTTAGTCGAAGATAGACAAGCTGATACCTACTTTTACGGTCACGCCTTCTTACAAAAGAGAGATAAATATGACCCCTTCTCGAAATCCAGTTGCTACAAGATTGTTTTCTCATGTGGTCGACCTTGTGTTGGTGAGACATGCCGGCCTGTTCAACAAAGATTGGGAAAACACAAAATGCTTGCAACGGAAGCTGAGTCCAGCGGTCAGAAGTGGCCGAACACGTGGCAGGATCTGGACATGACATATAATGCTCTCGAACTAGTAGGTTTACTAATTATGACATGTCTGCTATTGAAATTAATAAATTGGGGAATATGTTCAATATAAGGAACGTTGGTAGGAAGTTGCGTAGGAACTAATTATGCTTGATTGGTAGATTAAGGGAGAGAGAGGGTGTTGAGCCGCTGTCCAAAAGAAGGAGATTCAACTTGCCTGCTCGGTGATGGTTATAACTTCATTTATACTCGTCCAACGTGTTAGATTAAGCTTAGCAACCAAACCAGACGTACCAGATTGCGCAGCCCCAGTCATTCATTTCTTTGGTTGGTTCAGGTTTAATGACCCTAGAGAGAGGTTGGTACAGGTGGTTTCCTAACTTGACCTGCACACTTACAGACTTAAATCTCAGTATTTCAACCATACTCGCTTGCAGTCTGGTCAGTGCTTTTTCTTGAGTCACTAAGTCTTGATGACCAGAACCTGACATTAGCCTTTTTTGATCATTCCGATTTAGGACCAGTAAACTTGTACACGTCGACAAATACTCATAGACACTTGAGCAAATGTAGCAGGACCAATATAAAAGACAATTAGTCCAACAATTCTATAACTATCTAGACTTTTTTATTTTATTTGCTTAATTGCGTGTATTGAAGAGGTACGATAGATTTAGTTAGTCTTCTTGACCGAGTGTTAACATGAGACTTTTACAAGAATGAGTCTCAGTCTGTCTTCACTCGAAATCAGGGAGAATGCCTCGTGGATCGCGTTAACCGGAACGTCATCTAAAAGCCAAACGGCTGCAGTACAATGGGATTCATTTGAGATTGATCATCGGATCTATTCTTCATTGACTTTCATACGAAATGAAAGTCTCCCCATAAAATTTAATTTGCTATAACAAAAGATGACATCTCATATTAAGGACCCTAAACAGAGAGGTTATGACAGGTGGCCTAGTACCTTGACCTACAAATTTATAAGCTTATATCTCATTATGTCATCTATAACTTCATACGACCTTATGCAGTCTCGGCCAACACACACACACGCACTTGAACAAAAGTAGTGGGACCAATACGAAACATAATAAGTCAAACCATTATATAGCAATCTAGGCATTTTAATCTTATTTTGCCGAATCGAATCTATTTAAGAGGTAGATAGTCTTCTTAATCAAGCGTTAACGTGAGACTTTTCGAAGAATGAGTTTCAGCTCTGATGTTGGCCATCATTCAAAGGACGAAAGCTCACCTTATCTTCACCCAAAACGAAGAAGGAGGTCTCATGGACTGCTTCAAATTGAGCGTCGTCTAAAAGCCGAACGGCTGCCATACAAACGGATTCAGCCATGAGATCATACTTCGAATCTCTTTTTCATACACTTTTATGCGAAATGCAGGTCTCCCCAATAATGTTATTTGAGGAGACTTATCGAAACCCAGTTACTCTTTGTATATATATAATTATATTAAATTGTATAGTATCATAGATAATATCTATTTATCTCACCATAGCCGAGATAATTGTTTTAAATTTAATTAAAAATGCCACACTATTGTCTATTGGCCTATGAAACGAGCTGATAGGCTCTGAGTCAAGCTTTCTCGGACCAAAAGCAGTATTACAACTTGTTAACCTCTGGTCTTGCAGTTTCTTGTACTGCCTTCGCATCAGGTAGCCTCGAATTTGAGCCTGGAATATTGAGATGAGGCTGTTGAGCTTCTCGTCACGCATGTCTTCCAGGATGGCCAGAGTGCCGGCTTTGAAGAAGACCTTTGTGTTGCCGCACTGGTAGGCGTTGGGGTCAAGCGAAGTGGCGGCCAGTATCTTTTCGGTCACCTGCTTGCCGTCGACGAACCCCTCGGGGATGGCATTTGGGGCCAAAATTGAGTACCTGTTGGGCGATTGTAAAAAATGGTTAACTATTTCCACATTCCTTTTCGGTTATAATTTGATCATATCTTAAGCCTCAAACTGATTGAGTAGACTTACCGTTGCTTGAACTCTGAATAGATCATTCTGTTGGGGAAGCCTTTGCGGCAGATGCGAATGCCTTCCAGCACACCGTTACAACGGAGCTGATGCAGGACGAGTTGAGCATCCAATACACCTGAAAGCAAGTAATTTGGTAAAGTCACGACTCAGACTTCACCCTTCCAACAACAGTATGTCCTGGCAACATAATTTAGTATCATTTTAGCCAACAGTATCTGTTGGATCTTTAAGGAGCAATTATGCTGAGATCAATTCTAGAAATGGTGGGCCTATGAGTGGATAGAAGCACATCGGCTCTACTTTGATTTTCGTGACTTGATGTATTCTTCCAGCTTGGACTGTTGACTGGGTACAGTTTATGGTTTAGGCAAATTGTATCTCAGCTGACGAACCCCAAATCTCAGATAATCTAGTCTCAAGGTGAAAACCAGCCGAAATTATATGACTCGTTAACAGAAAATTGTCACTTCAACGTAATTTGTGTCGGCGCTAGGAGCACCAAAATGCCTGGAAATGTACCCAATCATCAGTCCATTTGCTGAAAGAATACAGGAAAAATTAAGAATTCTAATGGATTAATTTTCCCAAATGCTATGATTAGGCAAAGGATGAATATATCTCGTATTCATGATCCAATGGTAGTTTATAAACCCTTTAAATCGGAATATGCGTACAACTGATGTTATGAAAGACATAACTGAGTCTGTCTTTCGGAGTCACCCTTAAAGCACAACCAATTCAGGTGAACGCAACGATGACAATTTTGCAACTAATTGGTTAATATGACCAAAGAAGACTTTTCAGTTCACCTTCAGTCCTACCGATGCCTTATATATTAACTGCCTTTTCTGCAAAAAGTTAACACAAGATCAGGCAAAACAGATCTTCACCCGCAGTTCAACAACGTACCAGGCTGTTTGAACTCGTTTGGAACAATGCATCGGATGAAATGAGGGCTTGTGCTATCCAGGTTCTTCATCAGCTTGTTCAGAGACTCCTGTGAAGAAATAAATCGAGCATAATAAAGGTACAAACAGGAAGATATGAACGAAACAAGTCAAAGTTTCGTGTTTTAATGCAATCTAAGAGACAGGCTTGGCTAAAAAGCGAATAGGAACAGACACAGGTTGCTTAAAATGAACAAGCTAGATAAAGTGGAGGTTTTCCCCACTATGATATAAGTAGGCCCCAGGCTATGGTTTACTTCCACTTTGCCGTTTATTCTTTGTTTAGGTATGACTTAACAATGCTCCCGACGTGATACGATACCGGTTCGTACATTGTCGTTGCAACGGCTACAAATGGTTCACGGAAATTCTACTGAAATTCTCTGAAATCATCTTTATCATTGGATTGTTTGAGAGGCAAGAGGATTTGTACGTAATGTATACATACTAATTCGTTAAGGTCCTGCAAGTGTAGTAGTTAAAGCAATAGAGTGAATTCATCTCATATATATATACCTACTTGCAAACGAGAAATAAACCAGTAGTATCCTTGGGTTTACTTAGTTTCGGCGTCAGAATGTATCTAAACTGCCTATATCATTTCGGGAGATTTCCACTATCAATCTTTAGATTACTTTATGCTATCTAAGATGGCTAAATTCTAACTGTGAAAATATCGATATTTTAAAAACTTGTTTTCTCTAGAAATAGAAAGGGTCTGTTGACGATGGCGATCCGAAACGTTGTGGTCATACATCGCTTTTTCCTACAAGAACTAATTCAATTGCAGAGTTTCATGAGGAGATGGATGGTGCCTTATATGCTCTAATTTGCCTGTCCAGCTTAAAACAGGAATTGAGAATAGGAACTAGGAGCCAGTGAACTGAGTCCATTCTTACATGGCGTAAGGAAGAAGAGCACTTAAATCTTCTTGACTAACGTCAAACATAGAGCCCCAAAAGGTAGGGATAGAGCCGGCATGCAGAAGTGATTAACCGGCTGGGAAAGAGGGATGGCACAATGGAAAACGGGAGAGTAAGCAGCATCACTACCTGACCGGAACTGTGCATAAGTGGTATATAACAGCACTTTACTCTAAATAGGGGGGTAAGGTGGAGCTATGAAAAAGCAAAACTAACCTTGTGCTTGCCGGATATCGTTTGCATGGCGCCGCCTTTTTTCTTTTTGCCGCCAG